AATAATAATAATAATAATAATAATAATAATAATAATAATAATAATCATAATAATAATAATAATAATAATAATAATAATAATAATAAAGTGATTATGATTGGGATGTTGATGTTGATATTAACAATATTAATAATGAGATGTTAACTTAGGATGTTACCTCTCAAGTGGATTTCTTTCTGTTACAGATGCAGAGAGAAATTTTCCCCAATGCTTCTCGACCAGGATCTGCTTCACACCCTCCTCACACACTTCCAACTTCACCACCTGCTACCCCAGTGCCCCACTCAATGCCTCCTTCCCCCTCCCGCATCCCCTATGGCACTGTCAGGCCAGTCAGCGGCCCTGGTAATGCCACTATTCCAAGGGACAGGCTTTCGAGCATGCCAGCCTCAAGATCTATCTCGCCCAGCCCTAGTGCCATCTTGGAAAGAAGAGACGTGAAACCGGATGAAGACATGGGCAATAAATCTCTGACTCTTTTTCGAAATGAGGGGCTGTACGCGGACCCCTACTTGTATCACGAGGGAAGGATGAGTATAGCAGGTTCCCATACAGGACACCCTCTGGATATACCTGACCACGTTGTTGCCTATCATCGCAGCACAATGAGATCTTCAAACACTTACTGTAATCCTCCAATGCCTCCTGAAATAATGGAGCAGTCGCTGTACCGGCAGAAGTCAAGGAAGTATCCTGACAGTCACTTGCCCACCCTGAGCTCCAAAACACCTCCCACCTCTCCTCACAGAATGGTAGACATGAGAATGATAGACATTCACACTCACCATAACACACAAGTGTCTCCTCACACCATTCACCTTGACAGGTCATCTCCTGGTCGCCAGTCTCTCAAGAAAGATGCAGGAACTCCTGTGTTTGTGGAGGGGAAACCACGGAATGCTATGAGCATATCTGGCATGGTTGAGGTAGTCCCATCGGTACCTGAGAAGAAAGCTTTTGGCTATGGAAATGCAGTGATACCCAAAGAAAACGAGACCAGGTAAGGCACTACAGAAATGCATGAGCTTCATATGGATAAGTATGTTTCATGTGACAGTTCAGCAAAACTTGTAAGATTTTTCAAGTCTCCTCAGGAAATGGAGCCCAGTGAGGCCCTATACCCATTCTTCATCTCGGTAAACTGAGAGTCTCTTTCTATGGATAGGTCCTGTTTTGATTCTCTTTAGACTTTTGTGGTGGTATTTTTCAGCTCTGTGCATGCTTGGTTCTCCTCACATTGTTTCAGACTCCATGAGATGCCAAATGCCTTATTAGCAGTTATGCTGCACTTTGATTTATTTCATTAATAGCAGGTATGGGAGGGGCAGAACTGCTCTGCCACAGTTCCAGTGACCCCTGCACACCTATTAGGGAGAATCTGTCATTTGCACCAATGGAAAATGTCCACCACCACTACCTCCGGGCTAATAACAGTGTTGGGACAGTTTTCAGTGGCAGGAGAGGGAAAGCTTAAAACCTTCCTGCCTAGATGCTGTGGTTCTAATAAAGATATCTCCTCTTGCACACATACTTACTACATTTTTAAAAAAATGATGTACTTGCTAATGATGCATTTAACCTTACCTGTAGTTCAGTCTTAACACATATGATAGGTGCCATGAAGGAGACACATTTATCATTTGTGTGTGTTACCTTCTGTAGTAGATAATGAGAACTGGTGTATAGTAGGCCAGGTTGTGCATCAGGACATAAAAGAAATCACATAAGAACAAGCAGTGTTTGTCTCCAACAGCTTGCACACTCGCATAGCAATTTGTAATGTTTTATAGAGCCAATATGGCATTTTCTTTTCTTCCTCAGCTGGTGTTCAGAAATTGATGGAATTCCTCATTGGCTGCCTTATTTGCTCAAAAACAAGATTTTGCATAGAACATTTTGCTTTAGATGCCTACAAAATGGAACGGGAGCTATAATCAGCAATCCTGTCTCGGAAGAGAGGAGAGGGAATGTTAGAATGAATGGCTTTATTTTATTTTAGGAATGGTTAGCTAGCCTATTTATTTGCAATATGGATATTGATGCAGTTAACACCTATGTCTTTTATGGGGACTCTAGGAGTTGTAGTCCAAAAATATGATCTTGATAAACTCTCTAGACCTTCGAGTAACAAAAGCTTCTGTGTGTATGTCTCCTGAAGGAGAAGATGTTAATGATTAACATGGAGATCAAGAAGGCAAATAAATCGTAATACAGTAGGTTTTTTTTTTAACCCTCCTGGGTGGAGATCAAGAAGGCAAATAAATCGTAATATAGTAGTTTTTTTTAACCCACCTGGGCATGACATTCGCCAGTAAACACACCTCTGAGCAGTGGTACTCACACAAGATAGCTGCCTAATATGGATGTAACTGTGGTGTAGCATTTTCTGAAATGAACCTGCATAAGCTCAAGTTCATGCATTTGCATCTTCTTTCTTCACTGGCATGAGGACATGAGGAAGCTTCCACTTTTTATTAGAACTAAAACCATTCCTAATGTATGTGACAGGTGATGTGGAAAAGACATATATTATTCTTGTGCATAACCTTCTGCAATTGATCATAATAACTCATTTATAGTGTGCTGGGCAGTATCAGGACATAAAAGAAATAACGTAAGAAGCAGCGGTGTCTGCCTCTCCCAAGTTCCATGTTGTGCATAGTAATGTTATTTTTTGATGGATTCAAAAGAGTGACATGTATACTCAGAGAACTATGGTTGGTTATAGTTAGTGGGGCTAAGTTGTGGTCGATTATCACAGTTTGTAGACTAACCATAGTTGGAGCAAGCCACTGTTCCCCATTTTGGATGTTCTTTGGGAACTGTGGCAAATTCTAACTGGAAAGCAACACTTTTGACTTCCTGTTCATGGAATTAAATAGCTAGCATATTGAATATGGAGTATTCCATGTTGCAGTATTTGCTACAAATCCCACATCTCCATTCATATCATCATTGTCATCATCACCAGCATAATTTTTTCTAAAGGATAGTATTAAGATATGTGGGGCTAAGTCTAGTTGTTAGTCCCTACCAGAGCAGATGTATTGAATCAATGATGTATTGATTTAATGAGTCCTAGTCAATTAGTGGATGGATTTAGTCTTCTGTGCCCTTTTGAGTCCCTCTTGCATTTTTAATAATGAACACCCCTTTATACAGACTACAGTTCTACGTTGTTCTGGATACTGTTACAGTGGGGTCTCTACTTAAGAACGTCCCTACTTAAGAACAATTCCACTTTTAATAATGAACACCCCTTTATACAGACTAACAGTTCTACGTTGTTCTGGATACTGTTATCTAACTGGACCTAATCTCTACTGTCCGTGTCTACATATTTTTATATGAGAGCAAAAATAATTTGCTGGGTTCACAAAGGTTAGGAAACTATTTAATTCACCTAACAAAGAAATAAAGAAACAAAATATACCTCTTCCAAGTCTTTGCCTGTTGCATCTCGCTGGTCATTGTGGGAAGAAACTAACCTAACTATAAATTTCTGAAGCATGAAGAAAAAATTTGAGGCTTCTCAGCAGAAACATTATCTTTCCATCAGCTATTCAGCAACCCGTTATGATATTAAGAAGCTATAATGTTTCAAATATGTTACTTTTAATCTGTTTTTAAATTGATTATTTTTATTTTATTATTTTCTTCCTTTGTCCTATCAATTAAAGGTGGAATAGCAGCTTCCCATTAGTTTCTATGGACGGAAAAGAGCAGATACGGATTAAATGGTTTTCAATGCATTCCTATGGGAAATGCAGATTCTACATAAGAACTTTTCCACTTGAGAACCACCTTCCAATACGGATTAAGTTCTTAAGTAGAGACCCCACTGTATCTGACTGGACCTAATCTCTACTATCCGTGTCTACATATTTTTTATATGAGAGCAAAAATAATTTGCTGGGTTCACAGAGGTTAGGAAACTATTTAATTCACCCAACAAAGAAATAAAGAAACAAAATATACCTCTTCCAAGTCTTTGCCTGTTGCATCTCGCTGGTCATTGTGGGAAGAAACTAACCTAACTATAAATTTCTGAAGCATGAAGAAAAAATTTGAGGCTTCTCAGCAGAAACATTATCTTTCCATCAGCTATTTAGCAACCCATTATGATATTAAGAAGCTATAATGTTTCAAATATGTTACTTTTAATCTGTTTTTAAATTGATTATTTTTATTTTATTATTTTCTTCCTTTGTCCTATCAATTACTCAGCAACAAGGCTGACAACATTAAAAATGGTGGTCTTTCAGAGCTTGGACATAACACATTACTTTTTTATTAGGAACATTGCCAATATTGTTTGTTCAGAAGAATAACATGATGAACAGTAATGTCAAAAACATTTTAGTATGGTGAATAATTTTAACACGTTGTCCCTAATACATTAAATTTGAGTGCAACTTGGGAGGAATTTTTTTAGCCAATTTAACATTGCCCTAATAATGTAATGAGTCATTGGCTAAAATTCAGTAATAAGTCGTAATTAGTGCTGGTCTGTTGAATCAGTGTGGGTTTGATGAGTCTTTCTCTGTTAATTCCATTGAATCAATGGGCCTGCTCTAGTTGTGACTTACTACTGGATTTCAGCTACTGTGTTTAATAGGAGTATCTGGAAGTTAAGTCTTGGCAACTGGATTTCTTTCTTGTCTGGAGAAGCTACCTGGATGAGTAGCAAAATGTCTCAACCTAACAAGAAGTCCAGTTGCCATGACTCAATTTCCAGATAACCTCACCTGGATGACCAAGAATCTTCACAGATATATTTTTAATAAGAGGCAATATTGGTGAGTTATTTTTTCAACATTAGTGAGTTATTTTTCAAAAGCAACAAGTGCAAAATTATTTTTGAAAACTAACTTTTCAACTTCTGGCATTTCTCAGTTAAATATCTGAAGCCAATAGGAAAACAGAGAAACACTCATACAGTTTGTGAATCACCAAAAAGAATAGTCTACTCTACTAGCTTCTGGCTTGCTGTGGCACAAGCTTGACATGACTGCAGTTTCCATCTCTGACCATTAGAGATTTGAAGAGGTCTGAGTAATGCAATCCGGATAGCGCCCCCTGCCCACAGTCCACCTTTGCCATATGTGGCATCTAATTCCAAAATTCTAATGTCTTTATTAGTAAATTACAGTGCCATTTATTGCTTTATGGAAGAAAAGGAATTTCTGGAAATATATCATACTTTTAATCTGGAAACTGCCATGATAATTACTTTATTATACATTATGACTCTTCCTGCCCCGCCCCAGCTCTCCTTCATTCCTAACCAAAGCCTATAGCATCTGGTCCCAAAAGTTTGGACTGCTGTTAGTTTCTTAAGCTGCTGAAGAGTCTTAAAGTAAGCTTCAGTAAATACTCACTTTTAGGGCCTCAAGTGCTTTGCTGTTCTATATTTGACAATGATAAATAGGGCATTTTCACAAGGGTGCTTTTAAATATAGAAACGTGTGGTTTAAATGGAGCAGTGGATTTATGAGTACCGTGGTGCCTCAATTTACGACCATAATCCGTTTCAGAAGATGGACGTAACTCGAAATGGTCGTAAGTCGAAGCACCATTTCCCATAGCAATGCATTGAAATGCAATTAATCCATTCTGGCTGAAGGAAAAAAATCACCAAAAAACAAAAATAATTGAAGACTCGTTGGAAATGCGATTAATACCTTCCGGCTGAAGGGGGGGAAAGAGAAAATCAATCAAGCATGCAAGACCGATTGGAAATGCACAGAAAACAAATGGAGCAGATAGGAAATGCACAGGGAACAAAGGGGGCAGGTCAGAACTGCAAAGAAAACAGAAAAAAAGCAAGGGAAGCATGCAGGACCCATCAGAAATGGGAAAACCCAAAAAGCAACCAAACCCCTCAAAACCCATCAGAAATGGGAGGGAGCCAAAAAACCACAAAAAATCCAAGACCCATTGGAAATGGGGGGGAAACCCCCAAAAGCAACCAACCCACCAAGACCCATCAGAAATGGG